TATTCCCGAACAGCGGTGGGAACATGTCACCATGGATCTTGTATGTGAGTTACCAAGGACTTCGTTATGACATGATTCAGTGGTGGTTTTTGTGAACAAATTGAGCAAGATGATTCACATCAGACCAACCACAAAAACAATAACAGCTCCACAACTAGCTCAATTGTATCTAGATGCAGTTTTTGTGAATCATGGCTTAAGCAAAGTGTTAATCACGGATAGAGGTACTCACTTCACTAGTTTATTTTGGAAAACTTTGTTTAGTTTTTTCAAAACAAAACTAGCAATGTCAACGGCCTATCACCCTCAAACTGATGGACAAACTGAGAGGGCAAATAGAACCATAGAGGATATGCTACGAGCATTCACATTAGAAGAGCAAGAAGAGTGGGACAACCTTTTGCCACTTGTGGAATTTGCATATAACAATTCTGTTAATGCATCCACAAAAGTGTCTCCATTTTTTCTTATGTATGGAGCTCATCCGATAACTCCTTCAAGTTTGATGAGACGTCCCAAAGGAGAGGAGTTTTCGACCAAAGTTGCAGCAGTCAACAAATTCGTGGAGCATATTCACCGAGGACTACATCAGGCCAAGGAGAAGTTGGTAATAGCTCAAAATCGGCAAAAGCAGCATGCCGATGCTCATCGTAGAGAAGTGATTTTTGAGGTTGGAGATCATGTTTGGTTATCTACAACGAATCTGTCTCTTGTAGGAACACCAAAGTTAAACCCTATGTTCATTGGTCCATTTTTGATTTTGAAGCGTGTTGGTGAAGTGTCATACAAGTTGGAACTTCCGTCACATATGAAAATACATCCAGTATTTCATGTGTCACGATTGCGAAAACATGTACCACGACCAAAACAATTCACCAACCAACCAGCACCACCTCCTCTTCCAACCTTGATAGCAGATCATGAGGAGTTTGAGGTAGAAAAGATACTCAAGAAACGAATTCGAGGTCATAAATATCTCAAAGTAGAGTACTTGATTCAATGGAAAGGCTATCCATCGTATGAATCAACTTGGGAACCAGCTAAAAATTTAGCAAATGCACCTTTGATAGTTCAGGAGTTTGAACGTATGTGCAACGAGGACGTTGCATCTTAAAAGGAGGGAGGTTTGTAACCATCTTTAGTTAGTTAGAACTAAAGTAGAGGTTACTCTGAATATGGATGTAGATACTTTAGTGTGCACTAGTCATAGCTGCCACATCAGCGATCCGCGCACTTGGTAGGTACAGAGTGGATGTGTTAGTTGACAGTGCCACGTCATCAATCCGTGTGCTTGTAGGTAAGGATTGAGTGTGTTAGTTGGGTGCGCCACGTCAGCGATCCGTGTGCTTGTTAGGGTTATCCGCCACGTCATCCATCCACTAGGAGTGGGATGGATGGTGGGGATTAGATCTTATCACCTTGTACTTGTTGGTGAGAGCTATATAAGGGAGAGGAGAACCATTGTTGGTATCTCTCATCTTCAGAGTTTACGTTTCTATCTTCGAGTGAACTTCTCTCTAAACCCTAGTGTTACAATATCGGACTAGGTATGGTCCCCTTGAGTATTTAATGATGTCTTTTAATCTCATTAATGCACTAGCTACATTCATGATATTAATGAACAATATCTTTTGTCTTTAACTAGATAAATTTGTTATTGTTTTTATAGATGACATATTAGTGCATAGCAAAGCTTTGAATTATCATAGACTTTATTTTTGAGAAAAACTTCAAGTTTTAAGAGAAAATGAATTGTATGTCAAAGTACCAAAATGTGAATTTGACAAGTTAGAAATACATTAGTGAAAAGATAGAAGTCATTCAAAATTGATAAGCACTTGAGTATCAAACTCAATTGCAGAGCTTTCTAGATTTCACTGAAATTTATTGTAGATTTTTGAATTTTTTTGCTCATCTAATTGAGGCATTGAGTTTCATGTTAAGAAAAGATAAAAAAAAATGAAGATGAAAAACAATTCAAGAGTCAGCTTTCCAAGCATTAAAAGATGTTTTGTTACACTTACATATCTTCAAGTGATATGATTCCAACCATTTTATTAAATTAGATATGGATGAATGTTATTAGTTACAACAATGAATGACACACTTTAACAATATTAGAAGTATGGATATCATGCAGTTGCTTTCTTTCACAAAAGTTGATGACGACCAAACAAAAATTCCACATGATAGAATGAGAGTAATTAGTCATTGTGTTGGCAACAAAACATTGAAATCATTACTTGAATGATAATGAGATTGTGATGAATATCAATCATTAATTCCTTGGTTTATTAGGAAACTCAGAAGCATCTCTCTAAATGACAAAGTATCATACATGTGGCAATGAAGAAGATCTTAGAGCGCATCCAACAAATTTCCTTTTGGCCCAAACTATATAACAATGTGTACACTTATGTTTGAAGTGGTCTTGTTTGTAAAAAAACAAAACAATTAATCAAAAACCAGATGGCTTATTACAATCTTTAACTATTTCCAAACATTGATGAAAACATGTCACATCTAACTTGTATGTAAGTTAGCTTGGACTTCGTTAGAAAATGATCAATGATAGTTTTTGTGTATAATTTGAACAAAATGATTCACATAAGACTAACATTGACGGCTCCACAATTTGTTCAATTGATCTTAGATGTCGTTTTATGAATTATATATTAAACAAAGTCTTAATCACTAATGGAGATACTCATACTCACGCACTAGTTTTTTTTGCAATATTTTGTTTGATTTTTTCAAAACAAAATTAGCAATGTCATCAATTTATCATACTCAGATTGATGATCAAATAGAGAAAGTCAATAGACTTGTAGAGTATAAACTATAAAGTATTCACATCAAAGGAGCAAACAGGGTGAAATACTCTTTTGCTTCTTGTAAAATTTGCAAACAACAATCTATAAATGCATCCACAAATGTGTCTTCATTTTATATCATGTATGGTGTTCATTTCATTACTCCATCAATTTTGACTAACCTTTCAAAAGTATATGAATTTTCAACAAAATTAATTGCGGTCAACGAGTTTGTGGAGCATATTCAGAGAAGACTACATCAAGAAAAAAAAAGTTGTTGATTGCTTAAAATTGGCAAAAATAGCATGCTGATGCTCATTGTTGGAAGTTAATTTTTTAGTTGAGGATCAGATTTAATTATCTACAACAAATTTGTCTCTTGTACATCAAAGTTTTTTACCTACATTCATTGGTTTTTTTGTGATATTGAAAAGTGTTGACATAATATTAACTTTTGTCACATATAAATATGAACTCTTGCATAAATTCATTCTATTTGTATGCCTTGTCAAGAAACACGTATGTAAAAATATATGTTTATCAAAACATTTATCTACCTCTTCCTCTCTCTTTTCATTGACTAGTAAAGCTTCAAAATCAAAACTTGTCATTAAAATGCGGTTTGAAATACGAAACATTCCAACATCTTGATATTAATTGTCAAGTTATTCAGCACAAGTAAAGTCAAATCCACTAGTTCAACACATAGATTTAGACAACAACGCTCACACACAAACATTGTTGACACCTGTGATTCATCACTAAGAAAATTACATCCATAGAACAACTCAAAACTATAGTGAAAATTTCTAAAAAATGTCATGAAGATCATTCGTGATTTTTTGAATAGAGTAACTAGAATTAAGCTAACCAGAAGAAGTGAGTAAACATACTACAATTGTATGTTAAAGATATAACAATATTAATTTATAGATCTAACAACATACAAATAAATATTCATAATACATTATCTAGTGTAATTGCAACATCATGATAATGTTATATGTTTAAAAAAAATTAATTATTATCATATTTTTGATATAAATAATCTGAATTCAGAAAACAAATCTGATGAATAATGCATAAACTAAATATTTATGATGAAATTTAAAATTATAGAACATAAAATTCAAAAATACATGCAAAATTACCTTAAATTTCATTCAAACAATATTTTTATGAAAATCAATAAGTTTATTTTATAAAAAAAATTTTAAAAATGATGACTCAACAAGAAGAATAAGATTCAACTAAAATAATTATGGATGATTCACAGAAATTACACATTTTTACAATTTAATACTCATCAATGTTGTTGCAAAAAATTACAAACATATCATTAAATAATCAGTTTCAATAAAATTTCAAATAGTTTTATTTTCATCATATGAAATTATTTTTTTAATTATCTTAAACTCAAATTTTAAACTCTTTTCAATGCAAATTCAGAGATATATTATAAAATTTGACATTTTCAAAAAAAACGTTCATTGAAGCATTGAGTAAAATTAGTGGTAGAAGCAGAGTTAAAATCAATCCATTCTAGAGTTCAACTTGGATGGTTAGATTGAGCATATGATTTTATTAGCTATATTAGATTGTGTACTAGATGATCTCCATAAATAAAATTGATTATTATGTATTCATCATCATAAATTTTTGATGATATACTTGTTCAATATATCATCAAAAAATTTATTCATGATAAGAACACTAGAAACTTTACTCAAATCTCTAATTTCTCATCAAAATTGTAACTCTTGCGGTCAATGGCATTACCCAACATAGTCTTCATTGACGATCTGTACGCGGTTAGCCCCCAAATACTTAATTCCAGATTAAGTTATGTTCTGTATGGTAAATCATTATAATATCAAATTTTATGCATTTTACAAATGTCTTTATGATGATGTATGTAAATACTTGTTTTAATAGGTTTGAAGTTTAGAGATTCAAGCTATACATGGAACATTGATTTCTAAACAAACATACATTTTCCATATAAGAGTAAATTGTGTATGCATTTATCTTTTACTAATATTCCAGTGTATAATTGCATTCAAGTTAAAATTTTTTCTTCTAGTATTGAAAAAGGAGCTCAAGAGACTACATAGAATCAAATCAGATGAAACATCTCTTTGCAAAGACTTGAAGTGAAATAAGGAAACGCCAATGACGAAAATTGACCCAATTGTTCTTCACTTATGTTGTATTGGTCTTCTCCTTCTCAAGCAAGAAAAGGATTTCAAGAAGTGTTCAGTTGAAGAAATCTTTCTATACAGCAAGAGTTAATCAACTGAATTATGAAGAGGATATGACGAAGGTAATGTGGGCTGAATCGTGACGTAGAGTGTGACGAAATGAGGAGAAAAATACGTCCTTCCTCGCAACTCTTCTAACTTCATTGGCTCTAACTTGATTGGGCCTACGTTGTGATAATGTACAAACAAGGACTACCTTTTATGAATCCCGAAATACAAAACAGGTGGTTGAAATGACAAAATATATCGTTAGATTAAGTCATTACTCTCCCCCGGTTTTCGATTCGCATGATTTTCCTGGTTGACAGCAACGTAGACAGTGTCAACGGTCTACCTTGCAGTTGAAATCCAGATCGCAGTATGGAACTTCACGTCAGAGATTCACGAGTGATTAAAAGTGCTCGTCCACTTTACTCCGACTTCGGCCTGCTGTGGTTCTCACACGACTGTTCCAGTGCGCACACTTTTCCTCTCTTCCGCACCTGCCTTTTAATTTCCACCTTTCTCCTATAATCATTGTATTTTTAAGTAAGATCCATAATCACAACGGAATTCCAGACGATAAAGACGGTGAGTTTCAAAGATTCTCAAATTGAGTACTACGCAATGAGTGCCCTACTTACAATCACATTGTAGGATCTACATCGCGGCCTGTCTACAGACAGGGCAGAGATTCTACTGCATAGACCAGCGCGATATCAGATCGCCGCTATCAACAATTCCCTAAAGGTACGTCGCAGAAGATCGACTTTTATTCAGATCTACATTTGACTTTTACCTGTAATGTGCAGCACTGCAACATCAGGAGATGTTTGAAATAAAAATTCCCGTTTGTTTACGCTCTACGTACCGACTAGCGTGGTGCAGCCTCGGATGTAAGTTTTACAGATAACGAAGAATAAAATTATTACCTCACTGTAACAGTAATTACTTATTCTCGTGGGCTAGCAAATTACGACTCTTGTTGATGATTTTGTAATGATGCGTTAATCTTCTTTTAGGAATGCGTTTAACGAGAAAATCACTTCCGTTTCATACCGAGAATCATAAAAAGATTGTTCCCAACCATGACTCACGATTTATCGACAGGGTGAAAAGCAGGTGGAAGGAATCAGACTTGGGTAAAGCGGTAGAAGTTACTTTCAGGTCTTCCGCTGAGATCACACTCCAAAGTTAAGATTCGACTGCGTTTCATATACTCGATGGACCCTCAGCTCCGGTACAAAAGGTGGCTAGGGGCCCAGCATCCTCTGATTTATGAACTCTGTCATCAATATTTCTCACATTTCTCACACCTTTTTGAAGTCTGGACCCATCAGAAAAACAAAGCTTCAATGACACCAGTCAAAAGCAAGGCTCACGTAATAAACTGTCACTTCAGTCGACTCGAGCTACCCTTTTCCTATTGACGATGATAAATACTCGGAATGTTAAGACTGTAGTTTCAAATTAGTGGTAATGAAGCATTACGCTTTGTGAGGACTACGAAAGTAGTCCCAAACTCAAAAAGTCAGCATAGATGCGGAAGCCATCCAAGTTCTAAGCCCACATGTCTATACTTACTTGCCCTGCAAGTATATCTCAGCTACTCCTGAATTCACTCACTCGCTACTAGCTAACGAGCCCTGAGCTGAGGATTTCTTGGTCCCAAATGAATGTTAATAAATGGTTGGGCTTGTAAACTACCCAAGCCCTGCAAATAATCGATTGAGTACAACACCTGCTGGATCCTTTTTCTTATCTACAATCTGCATGTACTATAACTCGTACCTTTCTTAGAGTGCATTACTGACTACCTCAAGTTTAGTGTGGTTGAAAAAACAACACTGACCAGATGCGAGAACGGTTCAGTTCCTCGCTCACAGGTGTTTAGCGCAGAGAGCATAATATCATCCTGGAGGAGCCCCTAAACTCAACAATTATCTTGAATTCTCTCTGTATGTTCTACGCATATGAATTCTAATACTAAAGCATTTTTTGTAATATCTCAAACCGCAGATTTACTTGGCCCAGGCAACGGAGTCAATCTCATTTCGCGCCGTCTTATATAGCTCCAATCTCTTAGCCAGCGCTGTCCTGCGTTCCATCAGAGCTGGATCCTCATCCAGCATCTGCGATAATTGCTTACTCTGTGGAAACAATGAAACCAGCTTAGAGTTAGATATACCACCTAGGTTGTTCAAAAGTTTCCAGTCTAGATTGAAGTTCGGAGGAGGAAAAATCAGGTGAAAGGGGTTGTACTGAGATAAAAGACTTGTAAACCAGACTCACTTAAAAGTCTGGTCTATAGACCTTTTTTTTCTATTACCTACACGACAGTTAGACTTACCTCCTTTTGTCCAACGACGATGTAAAAGTGATCCAACAATGCCCGCTTTGCTTCCCGTACTTGACAGTGCACTACAGCCTTGGGAATAGAATTCCTTAGGAGGTCACAGACCATGCCCACATATGATGCAACATTTGAACCTGCACGAAAACGTCAAACAGGTCAGACACACGTGAATTGCTTTCAAGGACTTGGAAAACAATCCACTTCGGAAATCTGCTTGATTCTTGGATAATTACGTGAATTGCCTTCAAGGACTTGGAAAACAATCCACTTCGGAAACCTGCTTGATTCTTGGATAATTACGTCCAACTGATACTGGCCCGGTAATACTGACCAATTCTTCGTAGGTGACCGTCTGTGTAGCGGTCCATAGAAGAGGACCCGGGATTTCCTCCCTTTTCCATCTCTTGGGGCAGCTTACGGAAGAAATCTACTGTCAGATAACTCGATTCCATCTCAACCAATCTGATAGCTGTCTTCTTGCTCTCATCGCGGAACTTCTCTAGAGATTCAATAGCTGCAGCCGCCAACTCTCCTTGAAGTGTGGGAAATCGCTTCAATTCCTGTCAACAAAAATCAGCTTGTAAAAATAAAGCAAAAAAAAACAGTTGAGAAAATGAGGACAAACAAGGGCTCAAGATATTCCTTCTCACGTACTGGCACTTTGACCTCACCTGAGTTTCACCGACGGATTTCCTGACAAGATCTCTCAGAATAAAGTGGACCTGGAAAGCGCATACAATGGTTAGTATAGTTGCATGACGATTGCTCAAAGTCGCCAGCGTAAAAAGCACTGTAGAGCTGAGGATATCGTTCGGCGACATACCGCATCAACAACAGCCTCAGCTGGTCCTTTGAAGTAGGCCAATGAGCTCTCAATTAATCGACGATAACCCTGCTCGGGGGCGATCAAATGTGGCTGATAACCATCAGCTTCTGACACAACCTTTCGTACATTTTGCATACTGAGGTGCTTGTCGAATGGTAGTCTTTTAAGAGCTGCTGGCAGCTGATTATCAAAAACCGAGTAAATCCGTTCACCACCAGGTCGCCTGCCAGAAGGTCGAGATCAGTCTGCGATTCATGTATGCCACTGAATGTACATGATCAAGTGCATAAACCAAGAAAACAAGGACAATTATTACCCTCCGTCAAGGTGATCCTTGAAGACATGGTCAAACGCCCTGCAAAGCTCGAGCACGGTGTAAAGTTGAGCCTGCGCACGCACAAGAATTCACCATAGGTAAATAGCAGCACTAATTATCCAAGTTAACGGGAATTCATGATGAGATACATTATAGTTTCCGTGCCTAGTACACAATTGTTGAAGCCAAGAATGTTACTGCTTATTTTTTCCTCGGGACCACGTTGGCTTACCCCAGAGTCGACAGCAATTGGACGACCTAGAAGATTTAACTCGTTCTCCAAATCGTCGATGCTCTTGTTGATCATGGCCAAGATGCTCGGAATACGAGCCTTGATCACTTGTTCCAAATGCTGCAAACCCAGTACAATGTTTAGTTTCGAATAACGTCTTAGAATTGGAGTTCGCTTAGAAAAGACTGATGTGGACAATCTTAAATGGACTTTCCACCAATGCTGATTAAACATTCTTCACCCAGTGCATTTCGACTAAGTGCTCCACGATGAAAGGCTGTTTACCTTAGACAATAGCTTTCCAAGATACTCAGAACCCATCCGGCTGGCCAAGTGCCCGTAATCTTGACTGGTTTGAAAGTATTCACGCTCCCGTCTTCTGGCAGCAAGCATATCGGTGTTCTTATTGATATCTTGTTGAGACCTGTTCACAACTCCAACCCACCCAAGTTGTAGGCGGTATGTTCGCCCCTCCAACACCTGCCCAAACGAAAGGTTAACTTCTTCGCACCGATGTAACGAACGAAGCAATCCTCTATGTCAGAAGGCTTAACTGCCACATGTAGTCATGTAATCACGGCCTCGTCAAGCAAAACACCGTCTGACAATTCTTCAAGACACTAGTCGATGTACAAATTCTAGAGGTTGAATATTAGACTTACATCAAGCGCATTTGTACCCTTGTCCATGAGATCCAGCTTGGTAGCCACTCCAAATGTACGTTCACCTTAAGAGATCACATTACAAACGTAGTGAGTCTCCGATCTCCAAACAAGACCCAAATGGTGAACCAAAACCTTATAACGGAAAACCAAACTGAGTAGTATGTGCTTCTCACAGCTTCAAGACCAAAGAACTCCGCGCCTGGGTGAGCGGTCCCGTTATCAAGAGCGGAGAAGTAATAGCTGAAACGTTAAACCTATCAGGACGAGATGACTGCACGCTAACGGTATTTCCACAGTATATCCCGTGTGTACAATGCACAGATTTCATTTCAGAGATGACTTCATCAAACTTTTGCAAGATAGTTTAACGTGAATACCATTGGGATCGACTTCTCGGGCAATCTTGATAGCGTCAGAAGTAGCAATATCCTGATTAGCTGGGGATACGGCCAAGATGATGGAATTCGGCTGAAAATGGGCATTACACAAAAGGAGAAAGAAGTTAGACACATAAGGACCAAAAACTGTTAAAAGTATGTCCAACGCTAAAGAGAATTTTCGACAATCCGATATCGACGTTTGAAACGTAAAAAGTAATCAAATGCAACTTCAACGGATGCACTTTGAAGGTGACAAACAAATTCTCTTTACTCTCACCTTCTCAACGTATGAACGAACCATGTCCTCAATGTCAGCAACAATGCTATCCGATTGTCCCTCTGCACAAATGAGGGTACAGAATAGTAAGTGAGGTCCAAGTGTCGCATACGGCTTTCCAGGAACATCGACCACTCCAAATCCAGCATAAAAGCATGAGAATGAGCAATTCTCATCAATATATAGAAGGGAGCATCGAGGACTTTACCGACGGCGACCTTCGTCAACCCGGGAAGATCCACCAGGGTAAGATTGACCACTGTAAGAGCAGATAAATCATTAGGTTCAGTTTTCGTTAAAACTGGAATTCTAATTACCACACATCAACGCACTGAATGTGGGAATCCGAATCAGCAGAAAAAAAAAAGTAGAGATGAGTGGGTTGAGGCGCACCATTCGGAGAGTAGACTGTAAGATGAATTGGAATTTTTGAAATTCCCTTTCGACCACCAACCCTGTCTGTTTCATCGGAAATTTCCTTCCTGACAAGAGCTGCAAGAAAGGTCCAGATGATATGAACATGAGTACATTGACATGCTTAGCGAACTGAATTCCCAGTAGCTACCCATAGGTTGCTATAACATGTTTTGGTAACGACCACCTTCCAATCGGAAATCTTAAAACTCTACCTCATCACCCCAGATCGAAGATGGTCACAATGATGTTCACGTGCTCGAGAGCCAAAGACGACAATTCGCAGCGAAACTAGGCCATGATTTTCAAATCGAAAGATGCGGTATCTGGACCGTGGTGGCAAGGTCAGCACAATTCTCTACTGACAGGTGGAAATAGCCTTACCAAAGTCCTCAAACCTCTTTCGAGGAGCATGAAGAAACTCAGCCCACTCCCTCGTTCCATCCTCAGTCTTTTGCAACTGTAACACTAGCGGTCGTCTCGTGACGATACCTGCCCAATAGAACGCAATTTGACAATAAGTTACTCGTACCCCTCACCAAATAAGAAGAGTTTGTTGATTACGACTTCCTTCTGGATCAAGAAGAAAATCGGTCGACACTACACATACATGTACAGATCTCATATCATGTGGGCTCATACGGCTGAATATGCGACTCTGGTATGTAAGAAAAATTGTGGCTAGGCGATCGAGGCACACAACGCTTTACCTGATCCACGAGGAAGAAAATCTTTCCCGACAACACTTTCCAACACTGACGACTTTCCTGAACTCTGTCCAACCGCAAGCCAAATTATACCAGCCGTAAGAAAATCATCGCATTATGTAATAATTTCGGATCATCTGTGACGGAGAGCCGATTTACTAAACGGCACATTTTAAGTGAGAAAATAGGAAAGTAGTTGTTAATGTGTAGGTAGCAGAAACAAGAGACAGCACAACACAGACAAACAACTGCGCAAACAAATAAGAAACGCTCTGATGGCAACACTGGTGTATTCACCCGCTGGTCCAACAAACAAAATATCAACCCAACCGGAAGTAGCAAAGGGGTTGCAAAAGACAAGATCCAGAAATGCAGCCACGCAGCATTGCTGCTTTCTTCCTGACAGACGAAAGCCACACTGCAGACACAATGCACAGACGGGACAAGACGATCTACAACCAATGTACTAAATTTGCACCCGAGAACAACACCAAGTAGCACCCAGGTGGCGCAATGCCCAGATCAAGATCTAGACGCAAGAGCAGCAGCATCCGAATCGTAAACATCAGCAGCGAAACCCACCTGTCCTCCGACCACAACCACCGAGGGCAAAGCATCCCACAAACTTCCGAGAGCATTCTCGCCTCCATTATCTCCGAGCACCGTGCAAGCCCTCTGTATTCTATTAACCAACCCTATCAAGCCATCCATGTTGTGCGCCCGCGCGGGTCCTGTCACAAACAAAGCGCAATTCCCCGGATTCGCTCTCCTCCTCTTCCAACTTCTCGCCGAACACAATGATCACGACCAGCCAGCTCCGATCCCAACCTCCTTCGTTCCCAAATACAGATCGCTCCCGTCACCGCTTCAAGCGAGCAGCAGAAGAAGGCAAAGGTAGCAGCTGCAGCGGAGAGCTCTTGAATGAGCGAGCGAGCGAGCGAGCACACGCTCCTCTACAACTCCTCGTCCTCGTCCTCCTCCTCCTCGAGCTCTCTGCCTCTCAGCGCACTCTTCCTCTACCTTTCTCTCTTCTCTGAGTTTCTTCCTCTCCCCCCCTCCCTCCCTCCCTCCCTCCCCGAGCACCACTCCGAAGGCAGACGGACCACACCATCAAGAACCGAGCGTCGAGAGTGGAGCGTGGAGCGTGGAGCGTTCCTAACTTCGCGCAGCGCATTAACCCCAGGCGCGTGCCGGGACCTAATAATTCTCACTTAGTGCCATAATCCGCACCGGAATTCTCTCCCTCGCCGTTCGCTCTCCGACACGCTATTCTGCCGATCGGGCATCGACGGCCGATCGAGCGCCAGAAAGTTCCCCGACGTTTGCGCGGCCGGTTCCCTCGACGCCAGCGACGGGGTCTCTCAATCCGTCCAAATTTTCCGACTGGAGATAGACCGTTTGTCCGATTGAGGACGGACGGCTGCGATCGGAGAAGCTGCCGAGTCTGGACAAGGCGAAATTCAAATCCACCAATTTTGTCCGAACTCAGGTGGGGCTGGAAACCGCGGGTGGGCAGCACGGGTCAGCCAACTTTCGGGCTTCGCGTTGCGGGAGGAGCGCGGAGGGCTCGGCCAGCAGTGGCCGGTATCTGTCCGGCCGATATTCAGATCGGCAGCTTTCGATCGTCGATCGCGCACTGTCTTAACGCGGCTTTGACGCCGGTCGAACTGTACCACCGAGCGGGTCCCACTTCCACAGCGGGTTACTGTAGTCCGTGGTCATATCACACGTTAGAGGCTAGTGACCGATCTGTGAATTCCGCGGCGTTAAACTGGATCTCATTTGAATCATCTGCCGCGGTGGCAATTGTTCGCAGACCAGGTTTTGTCCTTTCTGCCTGGGCTAGTTCGCGGTTTGTGCGTTATTGCAGACTTCTGGTCGTCATTGATTGGGAATGATCCCACGGAATGTCTCCTCTGTCTTCACGAACTCTTTGACCTCGTACGCATAAGGTAATTCTGTTCGACGCTAACAGAACCACTTTCGCTTTCCTCGTTTTTTTACTCGGAATTTTTTCCCCTTTCGAATGTACGCCCTTGTCTCTACGAGCCCGATTATCAAAGTGCCAATGATGATGATCACGCGCTTATAGTCGCAGGCTTGGAGTTTAATCTAAGCTTTTGTAAGCTGTATTTTTTTGCAGCATTCACTTCTTACTGATCCGAAAGTCTATTCGCATGATGATGAGACCGCATTCTTGGACCGGGAAAGAATTTCGGTGATGAGCGACAAAGAGTATGCTCCTTCCTATTCTTAATTACGTGCAACTTCAGGTCACCTGGACACCTTCAATCTTTAATTACAATTTTCATTATCTTTCAGACCAAATAAATTTTGGCAAACTTTGAATGTAATTGAAGAATCTTCTTGGTACTATAGCACCATGGACAATACCCAATCGAACAGTAGTGTTCGACACAGCCGAAAGAGAAAGGTTGGGGACAATTCTTAGAAGTCAGACTGTTTCTCATTACCGCGTCTTGATAGCGTAATGGCCCCTTTTCCCGTTCTCAATAAGCATACAACGTGAGGACGTAACTTCTTCTTCGGTATCTAGGCTGCCCACATGCTATATAGGTTTCTGTCTCTGCACAGAATGTAACAAGCCCATTTGGACATATCAGCAGCATTTGACAGTCGTGATTTGCATGAGCCAAAGCCTACCCAACATTTCCTCTCGGATTATTACACGACACACCTAACTAAATCGAAGATATAGTATTAAGTAGTTGTATCGGATTTTGATCTTTGCGGGATTATGCTTCGACGTGCAAGTTTCTAATTGTAGAAACTTGCATGGGACTTTTGCTTCTAATGTCACGATCTGGTACCACGTACTTGTCATTGACGCAGATGATGTTTAGGGCTCTTTCACGAGCTCATGTGTCTATGTGTCACTTAACTTCAGGTCGAAACAACTCAAACATTTGGCAAGTGAGCAGTAATCATGTGATGTAGATGAAGCCTTGCGTCAGAATGTGGCCACTAAGCCCGCCAGCTCTCGCCAACTACTTCCTCCTCTAAATGTGGAGTTCCCAGAGAATTCGGCAGCGCTTTCAGCAAGATGCTTATAAGTCCCCACGTTTCAGCTGAAGAGCTCCCATGCCTCAGGCTCGACTGACAGCTAAATAAAGTAAACATGCTCCATAAAGGTAACTGCGGAAATCCTTAGATACACCGTCGGCCACCAATCTGATAACTTAAATTTAGAACCGATGCAAAGAGGGAGCATGTGTACCAATTTCTCAGGGTTATAACAACCTTCACTTTCGTGTCAGAGCATGTCTTTGTACACTTCACTTTCTACTTCCTCCTTTCACGTTTTTCCTTGCCCATGCAGGAAACGAGTGCTCATGGTGAAAAGCACAAACGTGAGACATTTCGGGCACACCATGTCACAACTGACAATGAGTTCAAGCACGCAATTCGTGAATGTCCATTGCGAGGAGAACTAAATTGTAAATTTGGAGGTGTAAATTACCTACAAGCTATCATATCAAATGCCCAAAAGATGTGATTCAAGCGAAAGTAAAACTCAACCAAGATAATTAAACACCGAGACCAAAAGGCGAAGGGTCATTTCAGATATCTCTCGAACAGTGCTTTCGGATCTTCGGCAGTAGTATGGTCAGAAGATCAAGTTGGTTGAGAAGTATGTGAAAACACATGTTCAATAACGGTATGTAAAATCTTGAGTAACAAAACTTTTGAGTTCAATAATAGTTAACTCGTAGATTATGTACGCCAAGAAAGATCGTTTAGTGCTCAAAGTGATAATAAGTATGACATGTACTTTATCCAAACTCATGACCTACAGTTGCGAAATCACTTAACTCCAATGATTTGACTATGATTCATAAAACCATAGTTGATGAGGTAAATATTGATTATCCCAATTCATTTTTCTTATTTGATATTGTTTTAACTTTATCTTGGCAGATGTCTTCAGGACGGATTTTGTCACTTGGTTTTATGATGATTTCACAATCTAGTACCAGCACATAAAGAAAAGGCAATGTAGCTTAAGTTATCTGGGAATATTAAAGCTTAAGTTATCTCGGAAGTTAGCTAGTATCTTTAGATTTAGTTTGCAATATTAGGGACGTCATCACTTAACATTCTAGTGCTCTTGGCACTAGTTAGAGATTGATCTTTAGTGTTTGTACTCTGTTTTTCAGCATTTTGATACTTTGGGTCCCATAGGCTTGGTCTATTTATTATATACCATATATGTCACTAGACTTAAGATCTTTCATACTTGTTCAAAGTAATTTTTTGATCATACTTTTGTTGTTTTAATCAATATTTGTTGGTTTTTTTTTATTTTGATATCAATTACTTATAATAAGCCAAGAGTATCAAAGTTGAATATCAAATTTTCTTGATTTTTGATATTTGAAGTAGATGCAAAAACCATAAATTTATTGCAATTTTTTTGGCAATATAAATCCAATCAATTGAGCCACAATCAAAAAAATAAATGATGATAGACTTTATGAAACAATTTTTAACTTGAATATGTTTTATGATATATCATGAACGCAAAATTCAAATGTATGTTTGAAATTATTTTAAAAATTATAAACATCTTTAGTTAGTTAAAACCAAAAATATTCAATATGAAGATAGAATTGACTTTAAAGTATTATCTGTAGTGACCATGATAACAATCCATGTGATTGTCACGTAAGATTTTAATGTCTTAGTTGAAAATGATACATTAGAGATTCGTGATCTTGTTAGATCTACAGCTATATCATCAGTCTACCATGAGAGTAATGAATGATTAGCAATAACTTTTCTCTTTGTGCTTGTTGGAAAGATTCATTTAACGAAAAAAACATAATACATATTTTTTATCTTGAAATTTAGTATTCCTTCTTCAAGTGAGCTTAACTCTTCAACTTTGAAGTGACAACTAACTTTTACAATTAACAGCTGATAATTGAAACAAAAAAAGTAAAATTAGAAAATCTACAACATGAATCTATTTTAATTTTGCATATAAAAGTATAATATTAAATAATTTTTTTCATTTAAATAACAATTACATGATAATCATATGATAAAACAACACAAGATATATTTTAAAACTTCATTCAATGTTGTCAATTACAATCATTTGTGGAAAAATAAAGTCAAATTCAAATAGAAAGCTAACAAGTCTAACTAATCTATATACTAAAATATACATTTATTAGATTCAACAAAATCTAAATCAACTTTTAACAATATTAATAACATTTTAAATTTAAATATACAATATAAATATTTCAATGAATAAATAAATAATAAAATTAAATAATTATATATTTTGAACTTAAAACTTGATTAAAATTAACTATTTCTTGCATATGTTGATATTTCATGATAAGATGATATATAGTTAATTGATTAATAATTTTATACATGTATTGATGATAAAAAAATACAGAAGCTGCACCTCCCCTCTCGTTCCTTCGGGGACATCCGATCAGCGGCTTCCAACGGCCGCTGATCGGCCGGGCGCAAGGGGAAGGTGAGTGGCGCGTCCCCTTGGCAGGAACTTGCAAATCGGCACAAAATTGGAAGAGAAGGAGAAGGGGAAGGCGAGCAGCAGGAGGGCCAGAGAGAGTGGGAAGGCGGAGACAGAGAGAGAGAGAGCAAGCGAGCGCGCGCAGTGGCGAGCGGGTTTGGGGTTTTAGGTTAGTCATTTAGTTTATAATGTAGTCATTAAGGATTTAAAATCTGTTCAATGTCATCCGAGATAATTTTATACATGTATTGATGATAAAAAAATTTGAAATTCTTTATTCAATAAAATGCATTTCTTTGATTTTAGTTCAAAAGTTAGATTTCAATATCAAAATAAATATATGTATTGCATTAATTTTGCTTCATTTTAAGATTGCTGAAGTAAAACATCTTGATGTAGATTAATTTTTTGAAAAAAAATCTTAAATAAATACAAAGAATTTTTTTCATCTTATTTTTTTATTACATATATCACATATATATTATTATATAGAATATTAAATTTACTAAAATAAAAACATAACATAAAACTACAAG